TCTGTAAAAGATAGACTACTAACGCTCAGTTCCTAATGTACCCACAATACACCAGTTGGCTTTCACTGTGGGTCAATATGGAGTACTCTATCTGCCCCTACAGATTCAATCAAGGTCTTAATCTTCTCAATTGAGTCCAATGGCAAGAGACTCTGACCAAAGGTCTGACCGCCTCCACAAAGGAGAGAAGACAAGTCGCTAGTGTTGCTCTCTGAACTCCCCTAGGTCTTGAGCCCTCCCCTCACTGCCATTGTGCTCTCTCTTTGCCGGTAGAGCGGGCAGTCCCAGCTCTCCGGAGGCCAGCCCAATCACACCGGAGTCCTATATAAGGACTGTAGACCCAGGGCTGAGCTGCCAGGCCTGTGGCCTCTCCCACTCTTCACTGCCCTGGGCTCAACAGCACCTGGAGCACAGGCTGCCTTCTTCTAAGCACTGATTCCAAACCACTTCTGTCGAATCTAGCTGTACATCTGCCCTCTACCTTCTTCTCTTGTTCAGTTTCCCTGTTGCTAAGGAGCATCTGCGATCCTCTACCTCCTAAGGACAGCTTAGAGGCCCTGAGATTTCTGCTTGGACTACATCTCAAAGAGGTACAAGGTCTTCATTCAGTCACAACATAGTTTCCCAGAGTAAAAGCACAGACTCACAAAGGCAGCATTAGCTGTTCTAACCAGCAATTAAAGAAATGAACCGCTGTTTTAGTCATTTGAGTGAGTCACAGCAGATCTTTCCAGAACAGAATAGGATCTCAGGCATGTGTAAGTTCTATTGCTATGGGTGCCCTGAGCCAGGCATTTTAACACTACACTGGTACTCACACAAGGCATATGGATGATTAGCATCTTTCAAAACCATTAATGCTCTCCTTCAAGAGGTAAAAGCTGACTGTTCTATCAATAAATATGACAGGACTCTACTGAGGTGATGATCATTCAGAAAATGAGATCTCAGCAGCACGTTCCCCTAAAAACAATGAAGCCACACCCCTTTCTTTAGGCCACCCCTAAATAGCACCTCTAAGACTTGTCTTTACTCACAGAGCAGTAACTGAAATTTTGCAAATGGGTAGAAGTGTAACTGCAGATCCTACCTTGTACCATAAAGTAAACAGAGAGCAATTCTTCAAGCCTAGATCCATACAGGGCTAGTCATAAGCATGTTCTACTTTATACAGAAACATCCTTAAGAAATAAGACATAGCTAGTTTAGATAAAACAGAGAACCCTCACAATTCATCACATGAATAACTCATCACATGCATGCTAGTTTGCCAACAAGATCAAATATAAAACAAGAGGAAAATGTATTTCTCTAGGAGATCTCTATCTTCGTAGTCCTGGAACAGAAAACTTTTGACAAGTCATTAATGTAGCACGAATAATAAAAACTAGGGTTCAAGCTGAAGATCAGAGATGTGAAGCAGCCAGCCTTACCTCTACCTCACACTGGGGGCAGGGGAGCAGGTGATCCTGGCTCCAAGAATCCTCAGCATGGCTGGAGACTAAATGCCTAAGACTGAATACTAAATGCCCTGCTCCTATCTTAAATACCTCTCTAGTGCTGGGACTAAAGGTGGGAGCTGTTTCCCTTTAGACTGATTCACCCTGGGTAGCCTTGAACTCACAGAGATCCATCTATCTCTGTCTCCTGGGATTAAAGTTGTGTACCACCACTGCCCATCTTCTATGGCAGCAGCTAGCTACTGATCTTCAGTGGCTTTATTGGATCATAAACAATGTATCACCACATACTATCATTTCCTTCTCTGTGATCCTTATTAACTCCAACCCCTCCCCCCAAATCTAAAGGACATGCCCAAAATGAGTATGTTCTAGAGTAGACAGATGTGAAGAAAAGAAAAGCTGGTTAGTTGAGACTATAAAGAACATAGACGGGTGGTGGTGGCTCATGCCTTTAACACTAGCACTCATGAGGCAAAGGCAAAAGGATCTCTTTGAGTTCACCTAGAAGAGTTCCAGGACAGCCAAAACTACACAGAGAAACCCTGTGTGTGTGTGTGGGGGGGGGTGCAGTATGAAATATTTTTTTAAAAACTAAAGAGAAAAAACCGTCATAAATCATAATTTATGATTTATCTGGTTACAACTGAGTATTTCTAGACATCCCATAGACACTATTTCATCCATTCCCACAAGTTCAGGATTGTGATAGAAGGGGCTGAAGGGTGCCCCCGTGTGGCTGCAGAAGAAAGTGCAGCAAGTTAAAAAGACCAAGGGGCTCCTATAGCCTTCTCTCCCTCCCTCATCCCCCCCCCCCCAACCCTTGGATTTAGAATGTAGGTAAGAGCAACTCTGAACTCAGCCTAGGACTTTTGATCCTCCTCCTCCTTCCACCTCCCAAATGCTAAGATTACAGGTGAGGTCACCAGACCAAGAGCTTTCAGGTCCTTCTCTTCAAAGTGGGGAGAGGGAGCCCAGGGATAGCAGCTCTCAGTTGGTACAGCACCTAACTTGCACTAACAGAGCCCTGGGTTCAACCTCTAGCACCACATAAAACCTGGTATGGAGGCAGCATCTGCAACCCCAGAAACTGGGAGGGTGGAGGCAGGAACCAGAAGTTGGTTCATCACCAACCTTGGCTACCTAGAAAGCTAAAGCCCAGCCTGAGCTTCATGAATGTGACCCTGCTTCAAAAACCAAAATGGCCTTAGATGGCTTTTGCATGTGATTTTTACACCTTTTCCACATTTGGCCATTTGATTATTCATGTCAGCTTTGATTTCCATCATGAAAAACAGGTTTTGTTTTTTAAATATACCAATTGACCAGAACCCTTACAGTTAGCTAAAACTCCTCCTCAGAGCTGCCAACTTGGACCTAGAGTTCAGCAAACCCCTAGTGTAAAAACAACCAAGCACAGGTAAGGCGGAGAAACCAAGCCAACCAAAGCAGATTCTAAACAAAAATGCCTTAGTTCACACTGGAAAACAAGTTCTGCTTCTGTTTCCACTTCAGCTATCAGAAGCCAAGCAGGGACCAGAATAGAATTTAAGATAATACCACAGAGATTTCATTTCCTATCACTCCACCAATACAAACTTGACCTCCAGACACTTAAACAGAACGCCACTCAATACTGTGACCCATGAGCAACCAATTTCTTTAAAAAGCTTCTCTTCAAGCATATGTACAATATGTCCCTTTAAGATGTTTTCAATGTCATCTCATTACACAACATAAGAAAAAAAAAAGGCATTCTAATGCAAAGTACTCATAGCTCTAGCTCTTTCAAAGACCACAGACACCACTCTTGTCAAACATTTTTTCTCATTCTAGGATATTGTCAAACTGTTTTTCTCATTCTAGGATATTATTTTAACACCCATACAATCTTCTCCATAATAAGTCTCAATCTTAGGGTTTAAACACATAGACCTAGATACAACTCTTGTATCTCCAGTAATGTTCTGTAGGAATCTCTAGGAACTAGACTTAAACAAAAGTCAACACTGTGCCTGGAGGGCATTTTGAATGGGAAAACTGTGTTTAAAAAAAAAAAAAAAAAAAAAAAAAAAACCCAAGAAACAAAAAACACACACTTACCAAACAATGAAAAAACTTATAGTTAAACAAACAAAAAGTACAAAAGAAAGTCAAATTTTCAACATAAATATAATCCAAATTAACCACACATATTTGTACCACCTACATGAAGACCCGAAGAAAACACAAAAATACTATTAGAAGGCTAACACCTAGGTGACTGGTGTGTTTCTTTTGTATTGTTAATGAGCGAATCCAAGGTCTTTTGTATGCCAGGTAAGTGTTCTACCTCAGAGACACATTTCTAGCCACTTCTGTTTCAAAATCATTGAACATCTGCTAATTTATGATGAGAAAAACCATTTATTGATTGTTTATTGAATATCTGCCAGGTATCCTGGCATTTAACTGCCAGTGAACTCAGAGATCCTAAGATTTCATCAAGAAAACTAGATTTGGGGACTGAGAACACAGTTCAGTTAGTAGAGCATTTGTCTAGCACGAAGGGAGTCCTGGGCTCAATTGATCATTACTATATATAAATCAGGTTTGTAATCTTAGCACTCAAGATAAAGATATTAAATCCATACTCAGTTACAAACCAAGTCTGAGGATACATAAGACCATGACTCAAAAACAACAGGGGCTGGGAAGATGGATCATAGGTTAAAAGCATGCACTGTTCTTGCAGAGGACCCAAGTTTGGTTCCCAGCAGGTAGCTCCAGGGGATCTGATGCCTCTGTAGGCACCTGCACTCACATACACTTACCCTGACATAGATTTAATTACTGGATGTAGGTAATCTAAGGCTCTGGATTCAATCAGGGCATGGCTTGTGACCCTTAACATTGGTTTCTTCATGCTGTCAAATGAATAAATGGATTAGAACAGTGCTTCTTTTCCTTAGTTGGTTTCTGATCACTGTCATAGAACAAATCTCCAGGGGGAGGGTTGGAGAGAAGAAAATATGCTCCCAGAGTCTCTGGAAGACTACATCTAAAATGCTCAGTCTGTCCATACAGAACCCTAGGCTGCTAATCAAGAATCCAGTACACAGACTATTTCTGAGACATGAACAAAAACGAGACTCTTCCAAAGTATCTGCAGAACCTTGGCCTTCCCATTGGAAATGTGTTTCAGACACTGTTACCTTGACCTTGGATAAGCAAATAAACAGAGAAAAGCCACCAAAACAGCAGGATTGGGCCAACAAATTAGCTGGCAACATAAAAGACTCCATTTTCTACCACATGGATACCAGGAAGTTGGTAGCTCATGCCTTTAATCCCAGCACTTGGGAGGCAGATCTCTGTGAGATCAAGGCCAGCCTGTTTCCAGGACAGTTAGGGTATAATAGAAATGCCGTCTCCCCCAAAAAAAAAAAAAAAAAAAAGGAAACACCCACCCCCCAAATCAATCCAGGGCCTTCACACATCTAAGTGAATGCTCTACCACTGATGATACACCATCATACCCTACCTAGTACACATAGGACCTTAGTTTCTCATTTGTCACATCAAACATTTATCCAACTCAAATACAAGAAAATATTGCCCCAATTCTGAGATTCAAACAGGATCAACAGTTTTCAATTCTGAAGTTTTATATTAAAAACAAAACATATTACACTTCACATGTTAATAAAAGCAGCACAACTGCTAGAAAACAATACCATCAGTAGGCTGGAGGAGGGTGGGTATGCTTTGTTGTGCCTCAGCTCAGACTTTGCTTCCCCCATTCTGCTTCTGATAAAGGCAATATCAGAACAGCAGCAAGTGAGGAAATCAATCGCTCCTTCCCATGTGTTCCCAGACTGGCACTCTCCTTGGCCGAAGATGTCTCTCCAAGACATCCTGGCCACCTATCACCAGGCTAGCTCTTTTCTGAGGGCTGGCTCAATCAACTCTGGGTACCTGAGAAAGCAGGTGTCCTGGAAGGCAACTATGAGCAGTCCCAGGCCTCCAATCTGCTGGCTGTGTTACCTCCATTGGAGAACACTAATATCCTCTTCACAAAGCAACCCTTAGCAATGGACATCTTCTAGGCAGTAATGACCCAGACCAGACCACACATACAGAACCTCTGGCCTCAGGGAATCACTGCCAGGCCGAGATAAACTGCTGGGGTAGGAGTTAGGTTCCTCCTAAGTTTATCTGCTGTTGTAATTCCTCCTGAGCCAAGTACTGTACATACAACTCCAGATAACTTTAAGAGGGAAAGAGTTAAAAATGGATTCATTTCTGCTTTCCTTTTATTCTTCTTTTTATTTAAACAAGTGTCTTTCTCTGTATCATAGGCTGACCTTAAACTCAGCAATCATCCTGCCTCAGCCTTTAAGTTTTGGGATTGGGTTAGAGATCACATTCAACTAAATTTTTGCTTTGTAACAAGATTCCACATGGTGTCACTAATGGATCAGTGGTGAAATTCCTCTGGCTTCCCAATAGGAAACACCTCCAAAGCAATTTTATAGTTGAGTGTGTGTGTGTGTGTTGATGCTAGATGTTAGGGACTCAGCCAGGGTGCATTCTGCATGCTAAGCACATACAGTCATTGTACCATATCCCCAGCCATATACAGACACTTTTCTAACTGTAGAAGAAATTAAGAATTAAGTAGCAACAAGCCTCAAAATTTGGTTGCGTATGTAGGTGCAAAGCTGGTTCATCAAATCCCTGTTCTGGCCCTCAACCCAATGCATTTCAACTAAGGCGCCGTCTACTTCTTTCTTAATGTTGATTAGGCACTTAAACAGGTAGCGTCCAGCTGCTCCATCCAGGTGGTCTCCCTTCTCAGAAGCCTCTCCATCCTGGGCCCCATTGCTAGAGCCTTTACAGCTTTCCATGGCCTCTGTCCCTCCCCTTTCCTCACTCCTTTCATCTTCCATGGCTTCTAGAGTTTCCTCCTGGCAAAATGACTCCTGGCTGAGGCACTGGCCACCAACAGAGGCAGACTTGCCTTCCGGTACAGCAAGGCCACACAAGGCACTCTCCTGGGAGCATGGGACCACATCTTGGCTACCACGCAACTCTTTGGGAGTGGACTTTCTCTCCTCCAAGGCTAGGATAACATCCTCAGGTGCTCGGGGCACCTCCCTTAGTTGTCTCACTCGCTCTCTTTTCTTCCGCCTTAAATGAATCCAAGAGTTTTCTATGGCTGTCAGGAAAATGCTAACTTCTTCTTTTCCACATGGAATTCGTTTATGGTGAACCTATGTGGAGGAAAAACCAGAAATTTATAAGAAATCATCTGTCACTATTAACCAAACTCCTTCAATTAAAACAAAAAGCCATAAAGATCATTATGGATCGGCACTTCATCAATATGCTTGGCCACACACCTTCAGATCAGTGAGAATTCTTTCTATCCATGTTGTCACAACTCCTATACCTTCCACTGTCTCAGAGCCCAAAGATGAGGCTTTGAGGGATAATTCTTTCATCACAGACTCCAATACCACAAATGTAATGGGTTTCCTTGGCTTTTCTAATTTTCTTCGTTTACTTGGAGGTGACTGAAAGAAAAAGAAGTTGTTGCAACAATTAAATACAGTGCACTATAATGGATGTAAGTATGGACATTTCCAGGGTTTCTACTCCCCACCCCAGGGCATGAGATACTGAAGCCTTTGCACATGTTCTTTCCAGTGCTGAAAATAGCTCTGCAAAAAGCTCCAGCTCTTCCTTCACTTTACAAGAAAACTGAGACAAAGGCCATGTCATTATAGCTCGAGTTATACATTAGTAATACAGAACTGGGATTCAAACCATAAATACAAACGTTTTAAAACCTTGCTCTACTCCAGCTACCATTACAGACACTCTCCAAGCACGAAACACCTTTTCAATCTGTGATGCCCCAAGCAGGCTCATAGTGAACCACACACAGGCCAGGGGCGAGCCCACCCAGTTTGTAAAGTATCTGCCATACAACCCTGAAGATATGCACCAGATCCCAATAACCATAGATATAGATGGATGGATGGATGGATGGATGGATGGATGGATGGATGGATGGATGAAATAAGAGTATAGTGGCACATTTGTAATCCCCTAATGGGACAGTGAAGATGGGACTCTGCCTGGAGATCACCAGCCAACCAACCAGCCTCACTTAATTGGTAAGCCACAGGCCAATGAAAAGCCCTATCTCAAAAAGCAAGTTTGCTTAAGAACAACAGCTGAGGTAGTCCTATGGCCTCCACATTAAGAACAACAACAACAACTACTACTACTACTACTACTACTACTACTATATAACAAGGCTGATTAGAGCTATAGCTCAGTGGTAAAGCACATGCCTAACATAAAGTCATTAACTGATAGTGTGCTTGAGTTTAAATATGCTAGATGGTTGGCAGTGGTGCAGTGGTGGTTGCCTATGCCTTTAATCCCAGCACCTGAGAGACAAAGGCAGGCAGGAGCTCTGAGTCTAAAGCCAGCCTAATCTACACAGCAAGTTTCAGGCCAGACAAGGAAATAAAGGGAGACCATAACCAAACAAAACACTGAGGCTTGAAATATAGCAGCTTACCCCCCACCCCCAAAAAAATCACAGGACAGGAATGATCAAGGCCAGAGAATCTTATGAGTAGAAGTTGGGCCCAGACTGTATACTGCCTATCAGCAGGGCATGAAGGATACCAGTACCAATAAGAAAACTACACTTGAAAGCTAGAGCCATGGGAATCCAATCACCATTAAACTTTGTACCCAGGACTTAGGTAGGTTCCATTTCACCCACTAGAGGGACTGAAGTTCCACGTAAAACACCAAAAGTAACAACACTACAGTAACTGAGTTATTTCTTTAAAGTTAAAACTTTCTATATGATAACACCACCACCCCCATCTCCCCTATAACACCCCCACACCCCCACCATTACATTTAGCTGGGCTGTGGTATCATAGGACTTTAATCCCAACAGGTGAATCTCCCCATCTAGGCTCTGAAAACAGCCTTCTGTTAATAAGCTAGACAAAGAAGTCCAGGCTAAGAGAAATCCCTTAACAGTGGGGACTGCTTTTAAAAACTTTTATATTTAGCCTGCATGTACGGATGTGCCCCCAAGTGCATGCCTTGTGCCCATGGAGATCAAAAGAAGGTATGGAATTCCCTGGACTTGAACTTGCAGGTCGTTTGTGAGCATCCACATGCATGCTGGGAACCAAACCCTGGTCCTCTGAGTGTAACCAGAGTAACCACTTTATGAAACAGGGTTCCTGAGCAATGCTCACATCACAAGGGTACACAATTTACTAGAGCTATGTGTCACCCTCTACCCACATCAACTCCGTGAAAGCAAGATGGACCTGAAATACCGCCTTGCAGGCTTTAAAGAACTGGGGGAAGGCTCTAAAAGTGACTTGTCAGCATCCTGGAGAACTTACTACTTCCCCGTGTCCAAATCAGTCAGAAACTATGCTCCAAAAATTCTACCAAAATTAGGGAGATTGTCTTTTTGTTGCTAAAATAAGTCCAGACAACAGCAGTGGGCTGAGTGTAAGCACTAGAATTGCTTGAATTAGAATTTTCAGCATTCAGCACCAACAGAAACAAGTCAGTAGGACTAAGATAATAAATGAAAACACAAGTTGCCATAGGAACTTGCACATGCTGATAAATGGCAGGGTGGGGGTGGAGAAGTAGGTCAATATTTGTGCTTAACCAGCTCTATTCCTTGTCTTCCTTTGCTCAACTGAAACAGCATTCTCCTTCTGCCCGATTCCCACAAGGACCAAGAGAGGATCATCAGATGAGCTTTCCAGAAAAAAAAATCAGTGAATAGGGGAGTCTAACTAGAAGGAAGGAGAACCAAGAGGAAGGTCAACCCAAAATCTCCAGAGTAACCTGGATCTACCCACAGGGAAAGCAGTCGTTGATCAAGGGTACCAGTGCTAAGAAACTGTTGCTGGGTTACTACAAATCAGAAGCTGTCACCCTCCACCGCCACTCCCAGCAGTTTAAGTACATCTAATGGAACACTGGGGAATGCATTGTTAGTAGCTTAGGGATGAGCGCAGTGATGAGGAGGGAGAAACACTCTGTAGCATGGGAGGAATCTCAGGCCTTTAGCAAGAGGCGTTCCTTGATGGCTGGAAACTACACAGGGCTACAAGATGCCTTAAAAAGGAGAGAGGGAGGCTCAGAGACTCCTCTTCTACCTAAGCTGATTTTGAAAAACATAAAAAATAAACTGATTTTGTACAAAGACACTTTAACACTAGTTTCTATGATGTCTTCCCTCATCCAAGAGGGCAAAGGAGAATGTCTCTGGGCTGTGGTGGGGAATTCCAGAGCCCATTACCAGCTCTCCCCAGCTGTGTCAAAAATTGTGGGCAGCAGGTTAAGACAACATTCTTGGAAGCAGGTGCTGCTCCAATTTCCCACAGCTGTTTGTGTCTGCACGGGGACAGCTAAGGGCACTGCTAATGATTTTAACCATCTGCTGTGTAGGTCCTAGTAGACTAGAAAACAATAGAATATTTGGAGGAAAGAGCCATGGCAAGCAGAGGCATCTTTTTAAACTAGTGATCAAATTAAGCACTAACCTCTGGGCATCCTACTGTACAGTCCAGAAGCAAACCTAGGCTTCCATGGAAAGGACATTCTATAGGGGCAATTTCAATCCTGCTGTACATCCAGTTGCAGAGGAAGAACTAGCTCAGCTTCAAATCTGGAACTGCCCAGTTCCAGCTCTTTTTTAGGCATTCTCCTTGGTACTACTGCAGGATGGCCTCAAACTCAGAATTCTTCTGCCTCCACTTTCCATGTTCTCTACACCGTTTTCTAGTAGTAATCATAAAAGACGAGCCAGAGCTTTTCACTAAGACCTGCACAAGCTGAGTAGTGGTGATGCACATCTTTAATCTGAGCACTTAGGAGGCAGAGTTCAGGACCAGCCAGGTCTACAGAGTGAGTTCCAGGATAAACTGGGCTGTTACACAGAGAAAGCCTGCCTCAAAATAAATAAATTAAAAATAACAATAAATCAGAACAATCCTTAGATGCTACACTCAATAAGGACACAGCCACAGAGCTAGGAGTATAACTTGTATTATAACATTTGCCTACTGTGCTTGAGACACTGGGTTCAAGCCCCAGCAATGACAAATTGGAATAGGAGAAAGAAAAATGATTGTTAACGACAATGGCAGCTCTCCAGCAGCTTAGGAAAGCAGCAATGGCCAGGCAGAGAAACAGACTGAAGAATGTCCACCCAAGTTACAATGATGAGGTGTTCCTAAAGGCTATGCTGCCTACACTTCTAACTTCTAAACTATGCTAGGACTGGATTTTGTTTACAAACACTTTCCACTTTGCCATAAACATTTGGAGAAAACTTTAGGAAAACTAGACAGTACAGATTTAGTTCATTTATGATCTGTGGAAGCTTATCACATGATAGGCATTTGGAGAAGCCAAATTTAAGTCTTTACTTACCGGTACTGTGACATCATCATAAAAACTCCAAGCTAAGGCCCATCTCATTGTCCTGCCTTGACAGAACTCTGTGAAGGTGACTTTAGGAACCTGAAACCAGTAAACACAGCATCTCACATGAAATTTTTGCTTCAAATACCTTAGCTTCAAGTAGCTAAGGGTTATCTTGAACTCCTGATCCTCCTGCCACCATACCCACCTTCAAACTAAGGTCTTTCTGATAATGTTTCTGGCTACTAACTCCTATTGTTTTGTTAGTCAACAAACAATATTTTTTTTTAGAAAGGCATATACAGCTGCCTGATATCAAAAAACAAATTATCTGTATACAGAATTTTTAGCTCTCATAAAATATTAGAATTTATAGATGCTTCAAAGGTCAAACAACAAACAACGAAAACAATTCTCTGGAATCATGGTGAAATGGTTTAAGTAGTTTTTCTTCATTTCTTTGACAGAGGAGTTAGCTATCTGGGCCAAACTGACCTCCAACTTGCTTCTACCTCCCAGGGAATAGAGTTGCAGATATGGACAGTCCTAGCAGTGCTGGGGTTGAATGCAGGGCCTCAAAAAAATGTCAGGCAAGCACTCACCACTCCTAAGCTTGAGTACACTGTTGTTTTGAGACAGGATCTCACTATGTAGCCCCAGCTTGCCTGGAACTAGGCTGGCCTCAAACTCAAACCACCTGCTTCTGCTTCCCGAATGCAGGGATTAAAGTCATGTACCACAACCAGCCTTGGTTTACTTCTTTAAGGAAAACAGCCAACCAAAGTCTGGCCATAAACAGGTATGTAATCTCCCTTTCATGTATCAGATTTCAATAAAGAAAAAGGAATTAGCCAGGCGGTATTGGCGTACACCTTTAGTCCCAGCTCTTGGGAGGCAGAGGCAGGTGCATCTCTGTGAGTTTGAGACCAGCCTGGTCTACAAGAAACTTCTCTGTAGTTTTTAATATCTTTAAGAAGAAATATTGGACTGGAGAGATAGCTTAGCAATTAGGAGCAATTTTCACTCTTTTGTTTGTTTTTTGAGACAGGGTTTTCTGTGTAACAGCCTTGGCTGTCCTGGAACTCACTCTGTAGAACAGGCTGACCTCAAACTCACAGAGATGCATCTGCCTCTGCCTCCCAAGTGCTGGGATTAAAGGTATGTACCACTACCACCACAATTTTCACTCCTACAAAAGACACAGCTTGGTTCCCAGAATCCACATGGTGGACTACAACCATCCATAACTCCAGAAGAGGATCTGGCCTCTTCTGACCTTTGTGGGCACACATACACATGCAGACAAAATATTAATATACATAACACAAATACATGTAAAAATAAAACTAAGAAGCCCACCTAGCTTTATGGTATAAAGAAAGCTGCCCTACCCAAACACATGCTAAGAGGACATATACACATGACAATGACAAAGCTTACCCCTTGGATTCTGAGCTCTTCCTTCAGTGGGGCCAGACTGCATTTCTTCCCCAGCATACAGCTATACCACCTTGGAAAAACATCAGACAAATGAATAGTGGTTACAAGCATCATTCATGAGAATAGCAGCAAAAAAATAGAGTTAAGTTACAAGCAACAGTAACAAAAATTGCACAAATTAGACAAATACTGAATCACATAATAATAATAATAATAAAAAAAGAAGCCCCAAGGCAACCTAAACAAATAATCTTGGCTGGCAAAATAGATCAGTAAATGAATGCTTCACCATGGAGCCCATGGTGGAAAGAGAACAGCTGTTCTCTGATTTCCATATACTCACCATGGCAACATACATGTACACACAAAGTAATTAAAAAATTTGTTAATTAGAAAAACAAATCTGCCAGGCAGTGGTGGCACATGCATTTAATCCCAGCACTCAGGAGGCACAGGTAGAAAGATGTCTGTGAGTTCAAGGCTAACCAGAGATGTATAGTGAGACCTGTCATTACTTTAAAAAAAAAAAAACTAAAATTAAAAAAGGTGAATAAGTAAATAAACCAACAGACCACTTAGGTTATCCTATGCTTAAAACTGAATTTGGTCTTGCAGAGTTCCCAGGTTCATTTTCCTAGCTCCCAAATGGTAGGTCATAACAACCCTTAACTCCCATTCCAGTGGATCGGACTCCCTCTTCAGGCCTCCATAGGCACTGCACAAACATGGTGTACATACATACAAACAAGAAAAAACTCAAAAATAAATACATATAAAACATCCTCAGCACTTTATTAAGAAAACACAGAATCCTGCCTGAACTTGTGCTGTGAGCTGCTCCATGAAGGGTGGTGGTTAATTAATACACGCCTTTAATCCCAGCACACAGGAGACTGGCAGATCTCTGTGAGTTTCGGGCCAGCCTGGTCTACAGAGTGAGCTCTAGGACACCAGGACTAAATAGAGAACTGCTCTGAAGGAGTGGAAAGAAAATGAGGTGAACTGGTTGAAGGGTAAAAGTGATGTAAATCATTTCTTCTGATTATTCAAATTAGTCTGAGAAATAAAAAGAATATAGGACTGTGTTTCAGCCTATCAAAGATTAGTTAGCAAGGGAACTGCAAAGTGATGAAACATGTCTGGAAAAAAAAAAAAAAAAGAAAGAAGGATGAAAGAAAGTGCATTAAGTCCTGGGGCTGTTGAGTGCACGGCTCTATGTGCCTTTGCAGCTTCAGGACAGGGACAGGAAGGCCAGACAGCACAGCAACCCTGATGAATTGATGGAACAGGGGTGAGAATGAGGAGATGAAACTCAAGAAGAAAGGAAATAATTAAGATTAGATTTTAAAAAACAATGAAAAAGACAAATGATCAGTCTTGAAAGAGGTAACAACATCACAGAACCCATAGACAGGAAAGAGGGAGAGGGAGGGAGATGGGTGGGAAAAGAGAGAGGCTGAGACTCTTTAGGTTCAGGCTAGTCTCCAACTTTCTGTGTAGCCCAGGACAACCTTGAATGTCTGATCTTCCTTCCCCTGGCCCCCTGCTCAACCCCAGTGTTAGGATCATAAGCATGTACCACATCTCGAGCCCCCAAAACAACTCTTATTACACAACCTCACAACTAGATGAAACAATTTCTTCAAAGACATAAACTATCATACTTACTCCAGAGGTACGGACTCAAATGGTTCTTGTGTTAAATTATCAATTAAGAAGCCAAAATCAGCCAGGCAGTAGTAATGCACACCTTTAATCCCCAACACTAGGGAGGCAGAGGCAGGTGGATACCTCTGAGTTTGGTCTACAAAGTTACAGTAATTAAATAAATAAATGTGTCAAAACTCCTCCCAACCCAAGTTCTTTTGTTGTTAAGTACTTTTAAAGGTGGGTCTGGTAATGCAAACCTATAACTCCAGTACTTGGAAGGTAAACATCAGAATCAAGACAGTCTCAAACACATACATAATTGGACTATATGAGGCTATCTCAAAAAAAAAAAAAGGGGGGGGAGGTGTGACCAGTTCTCGCCTAGAATGCACAATTCCCAGGACAAAAGGATGCATAACTCTGGGGGATAGAGGCAGAAGGATCAGAAATTAGAATCTTACATTAAACAGTGACTTTAAAGGCTGGCTTGATGCATGAAAACTGTCTCAAAGACAAATGCAACCACTCAACCTTGTTTCTAGCTTCCTATGTTCATGTGACTAACCACTAAATGCTGGCTGCAATCTCAAGAGATACCCTGTGACAACTAATCAAAATGCAAGTAGAACAAAAAGGAAGATCTAGTTACCCACGAGACTGTGAACCCATTACAGAATTTTAATCATGAAAGTAGTACTCTACTCATTACAACATTTCAAAATTCCTCTGAGATGCTGTTTCAAGAAAAAGTATTTCAAAATAATTTTTGGCCTATAAGAGTTGCAAGATTAATACAAATGACTCTCCTATACCCTTCACCCAGATTTACCAATTAACAAGTTCCCCCATGTATTTGGGTCTGTATGTTTTCTAAACTATTTGGGAGGTAGCTATGAAATGTTCCTGAACCCTAATATTTTGGCATGGACACTTTACAAACATGAATCTTCCTTTTAGCTGGGCGGTGGTAGCACACGTCTTTAATCCCAGCATCCAGAAGGCAGAAACAGGTGGAACTCTGTGAGTTTGAGACCAGCCTAGTCTACAGAGCAAGTTCCAGGACAGAGAAAACTTGTTTAGAAAAACTTAAATAAACAAATAACTACATTAATTAATTAATTAAGTAATTAAGTAATTAATTAAAGAACCTTCCTTTTGGTAACAACAAGAAAATGTAATTTCACATGGTATTATGTTATGTATTGGAAACAGTCCATATTCATTTCCACAATTATCCTAATTTCCTCTGGATATACACTCCAGTGTGGGATTGTCCATTTCAGTTATCTGTATGTCTCTTTAGTTTCCTCAATCTAGAACTGTTCCTTGATCATTGTTTACCATCATGTCAGGTGTGAGTTAGATTCTGAATACCTATTTTTGTTGGGAAGGACACAGAGGTTCTCCTGTGTCTTAGAAATATCATATCAGGAGCTCATGGGGTAGGAGCAGTCCATCTGGCTTCTCCACTTTAAATTTCCCAGTCCTCTTTGAAAAATCAGTACTCTAAGCAGACACCGTTTTTTCAGCGCTTGAGATCAAAGCCACATACATTGCATCACTGAGCTACAGCCCAGCCAAGATCCAGTCATTCAAATTTCCCGCTGCTGATTTTCCCCACAAATAAATTATAATCTGACAACTACAAAATGATGATATTTGTAACATCCCCAGTTTACAGATTCAGTCATTAGAATTGTACTTTGTAAGGAACAATTTTTATTTGATTGCCCCCAATTGGTTTTGAACTAGGTCCTATGCCCTAATATGTCACTTGGGACACTCATTCTTGCAAAACGAGGAATTGTAGCCTCATATTTATTTTGACCCAGCTCTGCAATCAATTATTTGAAAGATAACCAATTTCAATTGTCATTATAAAGACTGACCCATGGAAAATTCAACAATAAGAAATTTGCTCATTTCAGTAAGGAAAGGTTACTTAGAACCTTCTTTAAGCCAATTTTTAAACTTAAGTTATAATGCAGAAAAGCAAGTTACAAGGACCAGCTTGGGGTGAAAATGGTTATGAGCCCAACACCTTATTACCTATAAATAGACTGCTAGAACAAAAGCCTCCAGTCACCAGAGCAGCCGAACGATCAGCTTCATCTCAAAACAGTCATCATTTCAACTGACACATTCTAAATTGTCATGGCTAAAAATAAACTTTTACATCCTCCCCCCCCCCAAACTCATGTAGCACAGGATGGTTACACAGTGCAACAGTGGTCTATTTACAAACGTATCTACAGTACAGGCCACTGAGATAGGAGAAGTCTGAAATTACACTTTTAAGTCAGAAAGTATGCCTCATAAGTGAAACCAAGTTGTACAATTTTACCGTTCCTCAACTGCTAACCAAAATGAAGCAGCAGTGAATGAAGATGTTACTAAGCCTTCTGAGATTCTGTGTGACTTCAGGAGAAAAATTAAACTTTAAAAAGATTTTTCTTACATGTATGGGTGTTTTGAATGCACGCATGTTAATGTACGTCATGTGCATGTCTGATGTCTCCTGGGGTCAGAAGAGGCTGCTGGGGCTCCCGAAAGTGGAGTTACAGGTGGTCATGAGCCACCAGATCCTGAATTTTCTAAAAGCAGGTAAAGTGCTTTAACCACTAAACCATTTCTCCAACCCGAGGGAAAAAAAAAAAAAAAAAAAAAAAAAAGCAGCAAATTGTACAGATGCTTGGGGATTTTTGTTTTTCTTTTTTTCTTTTGAGACAGGGTCTCGGTGTAGCCAAGGCTGGCTCTTGTCTCTAATTCCCAAATGCTAAGCTTACAAGGAATGTACCCCACACCTAGCTAAAATACTTGATTTTAATCTCAACCAGGTATTGGTGCGACAGGTCTTCAATCCCAGCATTCTGTAATGTTTAACTTTTCTGAGAGGCAGACCACTCAATAATCAAGCTATTTTCCTATTTTTTGCTTGTGTGTTTGGTTTTTCAAGATATATTTATATATGTATTTCTGTGAATCTGGGAGAGTACAGAGCCAGAAGAGGGTACCAGGTGACCCTATCATATCCCACCTAATACTCTGAAGCAGGCTTTCTCCCTCAACTGCAGGGGAAGGGGCAGTGTTTTCTTGCTAGGTGATAAACCCACATGCTACTGTGACCCTTCTGTCTCTCTGTCCACTTCCTAGCTGGGATTGCAAATGTGGTCTAGATGCCCAGTTGTTATGTGGACTCTGGGACAAGAGCTCTGGCCCTCATTACTGCACAGTTAAGTCCTCTTAAGCACTAAAACATGTCTACAGACTCCTCCAACTGCTTTACATAGCACTTACATAAGCTCATACCACCAAATCAGAATACTTGTTGATTTGGAATTTACTAAATTAAGCATCATGTTTAAAGACAAAGTCTGTCATATAAACCAGTCTGGCCTTGACCCATAACCCTCCTGCCTACCTGCCTGCCTGCCTATATAAGTGCTATGACCACAGGTATACCCTTGTGCCTGGCTAAAATAAGCCGCTTTAGACACAAGATACAAAGGGAAAAAAATTATTCCCAACCTAGTAATTCCACCTCTGGGTAAACAACCAGCAGAATTTAAAATAGGATCTTAAAAAGTTATTTGTATACCTAAGTGCCAAAGGATTTTTAAAAGCAACACAAGTTGCCATGAGATGAATGAATAAATAAAATGTGGTTTATACATGTAATGCATTATTAAATTGGTTATGGTAGTTCACACCCATCATCCTAGAAGGCAGAGAGGGAAAGAACACCACAAGTCAGGCCAGCCTGAGCTACACAGCAAGTACCAGTGAGGATTTATATCAAGACCTTGTTGCAAACAAAGAGAACACAAAAACAACTAAACACCAAAAACAGAAAAATATCCACCTTTTCACAGAAGGAAAAGAACTCTAACACATGTTACAACATAGATGTAGCATGAAACACTATATTAAATGAAATAAGACAATCACAAAAGGACAACTAGCATATGGCTTCACATACATCCGGTATTGAGAGCAGTCAAACTGTGCAGCTGGGGCTGCACGAGTGAAGGGAAAGGGAGCTGTTTAACAGGTGCACTGTGCAGATGCAGCTTCGGAAAACCAAGGGTTCTGGCCCTGCATGGTGGCATGTGATTTGATCACAGCATTTGGGTGGCAGAGACAGGTGGATCTCTGTGAGTTTGACTGATGTTGGCTTGATCTACAGAGTAAGTTAAGTTCTAGGATAGCCAGGGCTATGTAGAGAGACTCTGTTTCAAAACAAAACAAAACAAAAAAAGAAAAACAAAAATACTAAGAGGTCTGGAGATTAGTTGCACAACAATATTAATGTCCTTAACACTATTTAACTATAGACTTTAAAACTTGTTAATCTGATGGTACAGTGTTTGCGCTCGCTGGAAGTCTCACATCTGTTTGTAACTCTACTCCAAGGAATCCAACGTCCTCCTCTATTCTCCTCAGACACCACACACTCACATCTTACACACACACACACACCATGCATGCGCAGGCAAAACATCCCTATACATTAAAAAAAAAAATTGTTAATATGAAGATGAGATGTATCTTAGTGTTGGTGTGGGCCTGCCAAGGTGAGGCCTGGAGTTCACTCTCCCCAACATGCCCTCTTCCCTCAAAAATATTGGATAGTAAATTTTATTATGTTTTCCCCACACACAAAAATAAATAGATAAAAATAAACACTTTATCATTTCATGAATCCTTTGACTAAGAGCTCCTTTTAGCTATTAACTACCATACCAACAACATGTGGCAGGGTGCAAAATGACATGAGACAAGCCTCATGCTCTGTCTGAGTGCCTAACACTGCTTAATGACAGGTGTGTTGTCCAAAATAATGAGCTTTTAAAACAGAACAGCCCTAACCCATCTCTAGAGATGGTTGATAATCTGTTTCTCTTCATTAAATTTCTGACAGCTCAATGTCCTCACATCTGTCATTGTTTAGGAAACTGAGTCCAAGAACCTCAATTGCTTCAAGGACTAGCAACAAATTGATTCTGGTTCATGGGACAGATTTGAACCCATCTGTTTTCTAATCAAAAGCCATATTTGAGTCAGTTTTGTTCCATTGCAGGACCATACTAATGGGAGCAATACAATCATTTGGGATTCCCTCCCTTTATCTGTGCAGTCTTCTAGACATTATCTAGTAACGTTTCAGTCCCAGTGATTATTTTGCCTTAAATTGACACAGTTTTTTTAGGATCACAAAAGACAAATATTCCTACTTACCTTAATCTTTTTTTAAGTTGTAAACTGTCATGGATTATCCTTTTAACAAATTCTAGTTCACCTCCTTCTGCCATGATTTCTGTTATGCCTCCTGTATTTACGGAACTTGGTGGAGGTCTTCGAGAATTCCGAGAGTTTACACCCTGAACAACAACAACAAAAGCCATGGTCTTTGAATGTAATCTATTATTGTGCTACGCTGAAGACTTAAAAGGTCACACAGCCAGCTGGGGCTGTAGTTTGGTGATAAAGCACTTGCCTAGCATGCACAAGGCCCTGGGGATTAAATATAAAAACATTTACCTTTTATATAGCCCAATCTGTTTCTTTTCCTTTATGCTTTGTCTTGATACCATGGCCAGGAAATCTACCCAAAGATTAAATCAATATTTACTTATGTTTTCTTCTAATACTTTTATGATTCTGTTTTTTATATTTAAGTATTTAATCCATCCTTACCTCATTTCATATGAAAAAATTAACTCAAATGCATCAATGACATAAATGTAAGATCTAAAACTATAAACTCCCAAGAAGAAAACATAAAAGTAAATTTTCATTAACTTGGATTAGCCAATGGTTTCTTAGATACAACATCAAAAAGCATAAGAACAACACAAAACAGATAAATTATATTTTATCAAAACTAAAATCTTCACTGTAAAAGAGACCATGGAAAATTTAAGACAAACCGGGTGGGGGTGGTGCATGCCTTTAATCACAGCACTGAGGAGGCAGAGGCAGGCAGATCTCTGAGTTCAAGGCCAGCCTGGGCTACATAGAGAAAGCCTGTCTTGAAAAACAATTAAATAAACAAATAAATAAAATGAAGATAAATAATAGAATATGAAAAAATGTTTGCAAATCATTGTAATTAAAGGGTCTTGCATCTAGGATGTTTACAGGAAACTTAATAGGAAGAAAAGTAACACAATTTTAAAATGGACAAAGAGGTGCATAGGGGCTTAGCTTAGTGGCACAGTGCTTGCCCAGTATGTACACAAAAGTGGGCAAAGAGTACAGGGTTGCTAATCAGGTCAGTGTAGAGAGTTTAGCAAGAGCTAGCTTGAGTGTCTAATTAGACCCTCCACTTTGGAAGGGGGTAGTGGAGTCGGTATCTGAATGGCATTATTACATGAAGATGAGCAAAGCGTCCCTAAGCACATGACAAAAAATGCACAGCCAGCCATCAGGGAAACACCAGCACACATCCACTGGGGTGACATACAAAAACTACAGATATTAAGAAGTGCTGAGGAACCACACACTGTGGCTGGAACATGAGCAGCTGTCAATGTAGAAAACTGTCTGGCAGCCCAGAGGGGCAACATATTAACACCCGCCTCAAATTTAAGGTGACAATAGAATAAGAAGATTATTTGGGGGCTGAAAAAGTGACTCAGCAGGCGAGAGTCATCCCCTGCTCTAAGTACTGTGCCATCAATTCTTCCTAATGCCCCTATCTATTCTTTGAATGTAGAGAAACAACACTTTTAATAAATCTTATTATAGGGTTACTTTTCTTCATAAACTTACAAGAAAGTTAAATTTTTTAACTATTTTAAATGCACTTCACTTTATTTTTCTAATCAGGAATGTTAGTATTCCTAATAAATTTTTGCTTAAATTCCCCCACTTTGTCAAAAAATTATTCTTGAGGATTTATTTATTTTTGAACTGCATATGTTGGTGTACACCTTTAAGACCAGTACTTGAGAGGAAGAAGCTGTTGTGAGTTCCAGACCAGTCTACAAGGTGAGACCCTGTCTACAATAACAAATAATAATAACTTAAAACTTTGTTTATTAGTGTTTGCATGCATGTATATATATTACTGATCCCAGAGAAGTCCAGAAGGTGTCATATTCCCTGGAACTGAAGTTACAGACAGGTTGTGAGCTGTGTATGGACACTGGGAACCAAACCAAGGTCTTCTGAAAGAACAGAAAGTGCTCTTAAGTGCTGAGCTACCTCTCCAAGCCCTGTACTGAAATTTTTTGTTTGTTTTGTTTTGTTTAACAAGGCAGGCTTTCTTCTCTATGTAGCTCTTGTTGTCCTAGAACTCTATCTATAGAGCAGGCTGTCCTTGAACTCAGAGATCTACCTGCTTCTGCCTCCCAAATGCTGGGATTAAAAGTGTGCACCACCATAGCCTGGCTAAATTTTGCCATCACTGCCTGGCTCAATTTTTCCACTACCACCTCGCTGAATTTTTCAATACATCATGTTTTGGTTGTTATAGTGCTAAGATTTGAAGCTAGGGCCTTTCACATACTAAGCAAACACTCTACCACTGAGATATATTCCTAGCCCTCTTTTTTAAATTTTGAAATAGGGTCTCACTAAATTGCTTCAAACAGGTTTAAATTTACTATAAGTTCAAACTAGTCTGGAACTTGGCAATTCTCCTGCCTCAGTCTCCCATGTACTAGGCCTCCACATATCAGTTCGTTGTATCCAATTTTGTTCAATTCCTAAAAGCAAATACTTTTTTTTTTTTCACTATTTAGCCATTTACTACCAAATGACAAAAAACATTTTTTTGTCCCTAGGTTGATAAAATCCAGCAAAAACTATAGCCTACCTTGGCTCAATTTAAAAAATTCAAAGTATGAAGATTTGTGTTCCAATCCCAGCACCTACATGGTGGCTCACAACCACATGACCAAGGGGCTAGCCACTGAAGGCAAAAGGCACATATGCAGTGCACAAACATTCATAAAGAAGACCAAAAACATATACATAAAATAAATGGTACATTTACATTTAAATAATGGTTTTTAACTTCAAGGTTTAGGGAAGAAAGAGCTCTCTCTTTACCCTCTCTTCTTCCCCTAAGTAATGTTCAACCACAACCAAACAAGTCTAAGAAAAACCAGCAGAGAGCCAGGCCAGAGCTAAGGAGAAGGTAGAAACAAAAGCCTCAGCCTTTATGATACTATGAACTCATATCATAGCATTCTAATTTATATTAATTTATTAATTACCTAAATTATACTGACTCTAAAGAAAAACTGCCTTTTGCTCCTATTTCTGAAAATGAGGTAAATTTACTAAGTGTTCTTCTATGACTTTAGAGGTATTTTACCTGAGCTTCCAATTGATTAGCAAAAAAGGGAGGGTTGCACATGCAGAAGTCATAAACGATCTCAGACTCTTCTTTAAGTGCATCCATTAGTAGTGTCTTTTGTGGCACTTTTACCACTAGGGAAGAAAAAAGAGACTGTTAGTTACTATTTATTTTGTAATGACGTTAAAAATAAGTGCACAAAATAAACAACCAAGGAAGAAAATGAATACGAGCATGTGCATATAAATTCCTTCACACCATTCCCAGTAAGGGGCAGAACTGCAGAAATGGAGAATTAAGCAGATGCACTGATCCTATCAATGTTCCCCTTTACAATATGTGTTAACACTAGCAGGAAAAGTGTTATTTCTTTTATAAAGAAGCATAGTAAAATGTGCTTAATAAAACAAAAGGTTTCTTCCCCAGCACAAACTCTACCCTTTTGAGAATTCTCACTTTTCTGCAATAAATTTATGTTCATTTTGCTAAAACTAAATTATGATTTAAAAATTAATAATAAGGAGCTGGAGAGTGGTTAAGAACACTCATTTCTCTTTCAGGACCCATGTTCAGTTCATTGCACCCACACGGTAGTTCACAATCACCTGGAACTTCTGACATCTGAAGGCACCAGGAATGGCACGTGTAGACAAAACACTTATTCACATAAAATACATCTTCAAAAAATTTAAAAATGAAAGCAATATAAAGAAACCCTGTCTCTTAAAAAAAAAAAGTAATTTTGAAACTGTGTCAATATAAAATGGTAAGAAAATGTATTTACAAGATCACAAGGTAGAGTTGGCCTAGTTCTAGCAAGTGTCTACATACTAAAATTAAGATAATTTTACAAGGAGTCATGGCTCAAGCCCATAATCTAAGCAATTGGGAGGCAGAAGGGGGGTAGACAAATCAAGAGCACCCTGGATTATATACTGAAACCTTTTTCTTGTTTAGTTTTTGATTTTTTGTTTTATGAGACAATCTCACTATGTAGACTAGGCTAGCCTCAAACTCAGAGATCAGCTCACCTCTGCCTCCCTAGTGCTGGAATTAAAGGTTTACATTATCACCACCCAGCTAATCCTATATATTTTTAAAATAAAAGTATAGTTTAATGAAGAATAGAATGGTGCTTTCCCCCCCCCCCTTAAAAATATTAGTGCCTGGGATTGTGCCTGCCACACAAACATTTGGACTTGAGTTTGACCCTTAAGACCCACATAAAAGCTGGGCATGGCAGCACACCTCATAACCTCAAAGATAGGGAGACAGATAGAGGATCCCTGGATCCTGCCGGCCAGGCATCCAGCTGAATGAATCACTGAGCTCCAGCTAAGGCTTTTTCACCATGCAGCTATCTATACAGGAGCTAGACAGAGAGCTAAATGATTGAGAGCATTAGCAGTTCTACTGGAGAACCAGGTTTGTATTGTGATCACCCATATGGCAGCTCACAACCATCAGTAAACTTCAGTACCAGGGGAATCTGACACACCTTTTGGCCCTGAAGGCACTGCACACATATGGTGGTACACAGAGACACAGGAAGAGACAACACTCACACACATAAAACATTTCTAAATTTTTTAAAATAATAAAATAGAAAGTGACTGAAGAATACACTGATGCAGACTTTGAGAGTCTTTCAAAGACACATGTACACATGTATTCACTCTCACACAAAGAAATTAGTGACTAATTTGGAAGAAGGAGAAACTGTAGCCGGAATGTAAAGAAAGTAAATAAACATAAATAAATAAATAAATAAATGCCATTTTTTGTTATTCATGGTAGACATAGTCTATGAAGTTGCCATGAACACTGAACTAGCAAATACAAACCCCTTTGGGAAGTACACTGCTGAAAACCTGATATACGTAACCTCATCTTCAGTGTGTTTTGACTTGAAGATAATACATGTAATACTGCTGGTCTGGTGTAGCAGCAAGCACAAGCATTTAATCCTAGCACTCAAAAGGCAGATTAAGGCAGATCTCTATGAGTTTGTAACTAGCCTGGTCTACAAAGAGATTTCCAGGCCAGCTAGGGCTATCCAGTGAGACCCTATCTCAAAAAAAGGAGTGTAGAAAAATAGCTCAGTAGTTGAAAGCACTGGCTGCTTTTCCAGGACTGGGGTTCTATTCACAGAACCTACATGTTGGGGTAACTCCAGTTTCAGGAGGTCTGACCCCATCTGGCCTCCTTGGGCACTAGGCATTACATGTGGTACAAAGACATACATGCAGGTTAAATACCCATACATACACAATATTTTAAATTAAAATTTTAAAAATACATATTTCTGACTCACTATAACTCACCTAAGTGAAATGTATTTTCTTTATGGCATATACAAACACACCTCAGTACTGTTTAAGGGTCATCTGAAATGGCAAAGTCCCTAAGAAACAGCATAAAAATGCACTTAATGAATGTAGCATTAGAAAGCAAAAGCAATACCTGTTCAAAGCAAAAACACCACGAGGGCAGACTACAACCCTGTTAACCTCAGCTCGAAGCACAAACTGGGGACTCAGCCATCCCTACAGTGGAAAAAGAGGACCCACTTCTACAAGTAGTTCTCTGACCTCTACACTCACAGTTTCTCCTGTGTACCTGTCCTTCCTAACACACAAAGGAAGCCATGAAAGGAAAAAATTCAACAACAACAAACAAACCAAAAAGATTTTGAAAGTCTGGCTATTAACAAACTGATTCTAAAGTTTAGGTAGCGCTCATGGCTGCAATCCCTACTCAGAGGGCTGATGGAGGACTGCGACAGAAAGGGAACTACTAACTTTCATTAGCATACTGGGCAGGTGTTATAAACTATTATAGCATGGTTCAAAACCATTATTAGTGCTAATGAGTCCTTGAAATTTCTGTCTGCTTTCATAGTACTACAGGTTGAACCTCACAAAATATGAGGCAAGGGCTATGCCAGTGACATAAATTCCCAGCCATTATGATAGTTTTTATTTTGGGGCAGATTCTCACTAAGGGTACAGACTGATCTTGAACTTGCTTTGCAGACCAGGTGAATCTTACATTTTAGAACCTTATACCCCAGTCTCCCAAGTAGCTAAGATAACCTGTGCTACCAAGCCTACCTTAAATTTAGAGGGTAAGTACTCCTCCTGATGTTCATTTTCCAACAGCAACCAAAGAGGCCAGGACGCTCCCTAGCTGCTCTGAGCAGGACTTAATGAGCACCAGCCACCATGAACAGTGTCCCACAGATAACTATAAAACTGTCACAGTAGTTGCCTCAGCTCTGAAGGCACAACCATAGGCAGAGCTGTTTGAAACAGTCACATTAGTCACTGTGTCATCACCAGCCTTGATGAAATCTAAATCAGAGGTTCTTAGCATGTTAGCACTCACAACCCCCTTTGCCTGCCTGATATTGTTTTGTTCTGTTGGTTTTTCAAGACAGGGTTTCTCTGTGCAAACAGCCCTGGCTGTCCTGTAACTCCCTCTATAGACTAGGTTAGCTTCGAACTCAAGAGATCCGCCTGCCTCTGCCTCTCAAGTACTGGGATTAAAGGTATGAGCCACCATTGCCTAGCACCTAAGAAATTGTTATGTGATTCCAGGTATACAAGTTTATAAAACAAATACATAAGTAGGCATGATAGTCCAGGTCTATAATTCTGGAGTTCCAGGTCATCTTTGGCTACACAATGAGTTTAAGGTCAGACTGGAATACAAAGACACCCTGCCTCAAAAAAAAAAAAAAAAAAAAAGTAAATGGTAGCAGAAGTGTAGCTCAGTTCATAGAGTGGTTGCTTAGCACACACAAAGCCCTGGTATCAATCCCTGTACCACATATAGGTACAGACACCTGTAATTCCAGCATTTGGAAGATGGAGGCAAGACCAACAAGTTCAAGGTCATGCTTGGTTACAGAGTTCAAGAGCAGCCCCACTAAAGCCCATATCTAAACAACTCACAGGTACAAAGATCAAACAAGCATAAAGCAAGTATTTGGAATAAATAATTTTTCCATTCATTGATGGTGAAAGGACATTTGCAGTAGAAATGGATATGCTATGTTTATTTTTACGTAAAAATCTTGAATGAGTATGTGATACTGTGGGTCATAAAACATCTAATGCTTTTTAAAGGTGACCAATATTTTGATCTTATAACTATCAATCTGAGACTGCTATTTTGCAAAAATACATAGCATAAAATGGCAAAACATCTCAGAAACTCTTGGAAATTCTCACTAAAATTCATTTGAACAACTTTCTAAGGAATTTAAGTCAGCAACTCAAACAGCCATTTTTTGTTGTATTTGTTTTTACTGCTACTGCTGCTGCTATTAGAGAAATGGTCTCACCATGTAGTTTTTACTACTAGACAAGGTCTCACTGTGTAGTTCTGGCTGGTCTGGAACTTGCTCTGTAGACGAGGCTAGATGAACTCAGAAATCCACCTGCTTCTGCCTCCCAACTATTGGGATTAAGTGAGTGCACCTCCACACCTGGCTTTTATTGATGTTGTTGTGAGAGATTTATTGTCTTTGATTGTATATGTATCTAAATGAGTTCATGTACATCCCACCTGTGCAGGTACCTGCAGAAGTCAGAGGGCATCCAATTCTCTGGGATTGGAGTTATAGGCAGTTACAACTGACATGAGTGCTGGAAACTGAACTAGGACACTTGAAATAAAGACACTTCAGGCCACAAACACCAATTACAAAAGAAAATTATAGCACAAGTCAATAGGATTTGCTAAAGGGGGCAGGGACAGGAGGATCACAAGTTCAACGCCAGCCTGGGCTACATGTTTTTGGGGGGGCTAAAGAAATGGTGCATCGGTTAAGAGCACTGGCTACTCTTCCAGAGGTCCTGAGTTCAATTCCCAGAAACCACATGGTGGCTCACAACCACTTGTAATGAGATCTGGTGCCCTCTTATGAAATGCAGAAATACATGCAGGAATAACACTTTTTAAAAATTATATTTATTTGTGTGTGTGTGTGTGTACATGTGCGCACACGAGTGCTCAAGAGTATGCTCAAGAATGGAAAAATCAGAGCACAACTGTTACAGAATTTAACTACACAAAGATGTGTTGCTGTTTTCCGTTGCTTGCCTAAGGTACCTGACTGGTCTAATAAAAAGCTGGAAGCCCAATAATGAGGGAGGAGGTATAGGCAGAACTTACACGGAGGGAGAGTAAGTAGGAAAAGGAATTTAGGCTTAGACAGAAAGAAAAAGACACAACAGGGAGACATTAGGGACCAGCCAAACTCAGAGGATGCAGGAAAGTAGGTCATGCAGAATGAAAGGTAAAAGCCTTCTGAGGCAAAACATAGATGAATAGAAAAATGTTAAGTTAGAAAAACAAAAACAGCAAATGGGATAAGCCTAAGCTAAGACTGAGCATTCATAATTAATGGTAAATCTCTGTGACTTTATTTGGGAGCTGGTTGGTGGCTCAAAGAAACTACAGACAACTTACTAGAGTTGGTTCTCTCCTTCTACCATGTGGGTCCTGGGAATTGAACTCAAGTCATCATCCTTGGCAACAAGTGCCTTTTTTTTAACCACTGACACATCTTTCTTGGCTCCCAATGGCCTCAAATAGTCTAATATAATTATGATCCAAAAGTATATTAATTTGATAGTTACATCTGGAGAATAACAATAGGGAAACTCCTATTGCTTTTCCATAGTTACAGCATTGTTTCTATAAGTACCTACCTCCCAAAACATCATGCAATGTTTTTGGTATTAAAACAACATGATGGCTTTCATAGTGCAAAGTTCTATGTTCAAAACCAAGGCTACAGTGAAGTCCTATCATGCTACATGGGTAAGTGCTTCCAGAAATGCCTCAGATTTCTGCACTTGATCCTGAATTAATCTTTCCAACTCCTCCCACATTTAGTTATGCTATCCCATGTGAGGTCCTGACCCACAGTTTTGAAGCCTTGATCTAGGTAACCTTGTGACCATTTCCACGTAGTCAAGAGGGAAAGCACTTCCTCTTCTGGGAAGACAATGCTAAAAAAGCATGGTTATGATTGGCCCTTTGCTGGCTATATAGGCAAGTTGCTCAGGCTCAGTATGTAAGGTGGGAAAGCTTCTCCTGTGCTACCTGACTGCTGTTTCAACATTAGAGCTAATAAAAGGCTCCCCTCAAGTGGTCTTTTCTTACCAACTTTCAGTAGTATGGGCTTAGCTGGCAACATAAAGAAAGCACTAGCAGAGACAGCACAGCAAGAAATACCAACTGCAAAAGTCACAAGGCAAGCCAGCAGCCACAGCAGAAAAAGGGACAGCAGCAGAAACAGAAGAAGAGAGGGCAGAGCAAAGACTGAAAAAGGAAAAAAGGCTGTAAGAAGTCAGCCAGAGAAGAACAAGTGCATGCCCTGGTCTGGAAGAATTTCAAGGAACTGTCAAATCTTGTAAGTTGTCAGACAATTGAGTTATAAGCTCTCACACTGACTGGTGAGGATGGGCTAAGGACTCCTAAGAGCCAGCTGAGGAACACAGGATTTCACCTACAGCCTACACAGGACATTGCTGATCTTACCAGACTACTGCTAGCCCTCACTGTTGTCAAACTTGGGATGGAAACAAAAGCTATCCCCAAGCAGCCCAAGAAGACTTTCTTGTCTATCCATGACCTCTACCTAGATAGAGCAAAAGGATGTAACCAGTTGACTTATTCAGGAAGATCCCTAGTCTCAGGCCAATCTACACTACATGGCATAGATAAGAGAGAAAAGCAATGTTTGAAAAGCCTAAAAGGTGAGCCTAAGGATACATACAACTCAATGGCAAAGTGCTTGGGTAGCATATATATAGCCTAGGTTCAATCCCCACAATGCTCCTTTCATTCTCCTACCCCCAATTAACTCAAAACAATCACAGACCTAAAAACAATAAAACTCCTAGAAAATAATATAGGAAAACACAACCTTGGCCAGGTGGTGACTTTATATGTGGAGATCATAACTTGCAGAAGTGGGTCAACGCTCTCCTTTGTCATATGAGTTCTAAGGACTCAGCTCAGGTTGTCAGGTTCGGTAACAAGTACTTCAGCAGCTGAGGCATCTTGTGACCCTGTATGCATGTGTGCATCTATATGTACATGTACCCATGAGAATGTGCATGAGCACACCAACAACCAGATATTAACTTTCACGAGTCAGTTCTCTCTTTGCACCATGGACTCCAGAATCAAACTTGGGCCACTAGAATTACACAGCAAGCACTTCTAGCTACTGAGCCATCTTGCTAGCCCTGAACTATAAACATCAGACGATAATGATGTGCTAATAAAAAGACACTGAGCTGGGCAGTGGTGGTGCACGCCTTTGATCCCAGCACTTAGGAAACAAAGACAGGTGGATCTCTGTGAGTTCGAGGCCAGCTTGGCCTACAGAGTGAGTCCCATAAAAACCCTGTCTCAAAAAGCCGAATGAATGAATGAATGAATGAGGCACCGACTATTACCAATGAATCCATTCTGGTCCTAGAAAGCAATAATGGAACAAGTTCATTACACACAAGGGCCGGGGATATGCATTCAAGATTGATGCAAAAACTTCTATAAAATAAAGGGTATCAGAAAGGAGGAGGTGGCACAATCCTTAATCCCAGTACCCAGGAGGCAGAGGAGGTGTATCTCTTCAAGTTCAAAGCCAGCCTGATCTGAAGAGCAAGTTCCAGAACAGCCATGGCTATACAGAGAAACTGTCTCAAAAACCACCCCCCAAAAGCAGTACATTGGAATTGGAATGTAAAAAATAGTGCTTTGTTTATGTGTATGTATGTACATCATGTACATGCCTGTTGCCCTCAGAAGCCAGAGACTTCAGATCCCCAGAAATTAGGAGTTACAGACAGTTGTGAATTACCACCCAAGTGCTAGAAAGAGTAAGCACCTTCAACCCTAAGCCATCTCTACAGCCTCAACATAGCAATTTTTGTTTTGTTATTCAAGACGAGGTTTCTTTGTGTAACTCTGGCTATACTGGAACTCGCTCTCTAGACTAGGCCTGTCTCTGCCTCCTGAATATTAGGATTAAAGGTATATGCCACCATTGCCCAGCATCAACATAACAAATTTTTAAATTTTTAAGAATTATTCACTGGGGGGCGGGAATCAACTATATAGGAAGGTGTGATATTTTGAATGAGAATGGGTCACACACACATACACACACACTTAGGAGATGTGGCCTTGTTGAAGAAAGTGCATCACTGGGGTGGGCTTTGAGGTTTCAAAAGACTTAAATCAACCATTGCAGTTGTTTCTCAGGATACTCTCCAGCACTACACCCACCGGCCTACCTGCCACCATGCTACACCATGAAGGTTGTGAAGTCTAACCTTCTAAAACAGTACATCCCAAATAAACTCTTTCTTCCATAAGCTGCCTTGGTCATCATGTCATCACAGCAATAGAACAGAAACCAAGACAGAAGACAAATTCACAAAACAGAAATAATGACGATCAACTATACTTAACTATATTCTTTCTAAATTAATTCTGGCATCAAAGCCAATTATAATATACCAGATTATTTAAACTTTAAAGACTATACATTTAAGATAAGACAGGCATGGTGGTATTCATCTTTAATCCCAGCACTCAGGAGGCAGAGGTAGTAGGATCTCTGTGAGTTTGAGGTCAACCTGGTCTACAAAGTGATTTCCAGAGCAGCCAGAGCTACAGAGAGACCCTGTCTCAAAACAAACAAAAACCCCACAGAAGATAATAAGACATTTTAAATTAGAGAAGTTTTACTAACAAAGCTTGAGGGACTAGTTATTCAGAAGAACCAACCTTTAATGAGATCAGATAGGTTATTCTGTTCCACATTTTTCTTGGCATAATTGAAACACATATCATCCACTTCTGTTGCCAGGAAATACCAGCCATTTAAGGTTGCTCCAAGTAAGGGATAGATGCAGGATGCCCCAGTACCTAGTAGATAAAAAAACAAGCACACCCCACATATGAGAGGGGATGGTGAGACACTAAAACTCTTTTCTTCCTAAGAATTCTTTCAAGTCTCTACAGCTTAACTACAAGTAAGGATATTCTGCAGCTATTGGGCTTACTAGAGGACAGAAACCTTCCTCCGTACTCTTGTATGCTGTGTGTAAAATGAAGTGTGGACAACTGAAGGCCAGGAAAACACAGCTTATTAACCTAAAGTGAACAAAATACTTTATTTTATAAAATTTAATTTGCTTATAAAAGTCTTTATGTCCCATACAAAACACAATTTTCTCAATGAAAAATATCTGTTAAAACACCATAGTAGTATCTTAAAAGAAATCAACGTAAGCCGAGCATTGTGGCTCACACCTGTGAGGGAGGGGGGGGGGTGTCGAGTTTGAGACCCTATCTCAAAGAAAAGGTAGGACAACAAAGAGAATATGCAAACAAGCACATAGTTCATTCATGAAAAGCAGAAGAATGGTGTGTGTATGTGTGTGTGTAATTTCCATGGCATCAAATGGTCTCTCTGTGGTTATATAGAATGTCAGTCATTGACTAGCCCTAGCACAGGTTCAATAGACATAATGAGAAACCAATGCTTCATGGGAAAAAAAAAAACTTCAACAGCCAGTATTTGTTCCTATATTTACATGTAGAGCCCCTAAGCCTGGACTGTCTACTTTGTCCGCCAAATGCTGCCTTTATAACCACTGACAAATCTTGATCAATTAGATCACATGAGTATACCCAAAGAAAGGAAAGCTAGGGTTCCTCCCAATGGCTACAGCCTGGACCAGCCACTTCAGGGCTATTTTCCCCTGACCACAAACTAATAATTCCATTGTAGCTCTGCAGGGTCTGGAAGTGCTCCTAACCCAGATAAGCCCACTCACCCATCACTTCCTCATGGCCTATTCTCAACAGACTGGAAAACAGACAGTGATCAAATTAATGGCTGCAAGGCTTAACCTCTTTGCCAGCCACAGTTATTGTCTCCCGGCTCTGATGTTGTCAGATAAACACCTCCTTGGGCATTGGAGAAGTAGAAAAAGACTCCTCAACAGTCAATTGTTTAGGCCTGAGCATTACAGAGATTTGGAGTCATTTAGAATGTTTTCACTTCTCAAGGAGAAAAAAAGGGACCTTCTTTTAATTTTGTCTCAAAGGGGGAAAAAATGCAAGTAAAGACCTATCCCTTTACCCTCCCGAATTTGTTCTTCAATTCTCAAGACCAAACACTTGCGTCCTGACATTCTGATACCCTCATACACCAAACGACATTTTAAGTGGGTAATAATCTTTATAATGATAAATAAAAATGGAAAAGATAGTCATAGAATTAGATCAAACTGATGGAGTCTGGGGGAAGAATTTATATAGAACCCTAATTAGAAAGAATATGATTTCAGCAAGTATTGCCCCTTGTGAAGAGCTAAAATCCATTAACCTCGTGTATCCCCAAGTGCTACTTCAGAGGGTTTGGGGCATAATTGAAATGCAATTAGTACCAAATAGGCTAGAGTCCTTTCCCCCACTTCCTCCCTAGTTATGGACTCATAACCCAGGCGAGCATTGGCCTGGAACTTGCTATCCTGCAACTGTCACAACCCAAGTGCTGAGATCACAAATACCTTGCACCACACTTTTCAAGTCAAGCTTTTAGCTTCCTATGACCCACCAACCATCTTCTACCATGAACATAAAGGGTAAGAGCTTTAAGTGAACTCCATCAGGTCTCCAGTGCTTAGCTCACATGAAGTACTTAGAATTTGAGTGTTAAAAGAATGCCTTTATCCAACAATTTTACTAGACCATGAGAGTTTAACTAGTTTGCAGTATAGTGGCAAATAAAAATATTGGCCAAGCATTATAACTTTTCATAGGTGGCAAGGTCAGAGAAAGCTTTTACAGATAAAGTAGGCTTGAGTTGACAAGTATAGTATAAATGGGAACAAACAGGATGAAGACAGGAGAAGTTTGAGGCACAGCAAGTAACATATACAAAGGCCTGAGGGTCTAAAGCATAAAAGGTGCACGCCTTTAATGCCAGCACTGAGGAAACAGAGGCAGGAGGAGCTCTGTGAGTTTGAAGCCAGCCTGGTCTATATATAGGGCGTGCTATAGGGCGTGTTCCAGGACAATAAGAGTGACTCAGAGAAGACCTGTCTGGAAAAAAATAATAATAATAAAGAGTTGTTTGGTAAGAGAGTAGACAATGCCCAACAAAAAGACATTAAGGTGGAAATCTGAAAGCTAAGTAGACAAGCTCTCTCTCCTTCCACACTTCTCTTATCCTTTTGCTCCCTAACTGACATGGACATCTCTTCTCAAGAGAAACCAAACACAGAAATGTCCATATGCAGCAAATAAAAGCTGCTTTCACAACCATTACTAGAAGAGCTTAGGAAGAGTCTGACAATGGAAAAACCTATGAAGCTTACATATAGCCCCAAAAGGTAGTAAGAACCCTAAACTTACCTATGTCAATTCCTCTTCGGAGGGTACTTTTGTCAGAAACCTGGTGACCAATCAGATCTTCTACCCAGTGAATATAGTTGAGTCTCAAGGGAACTGTGGGAATTAGTCTCTCTAAAGGAATATCAATAGAAAGTCCAAAGTCTTCTCTTAGGAGAGTACAAGTCAGAGCTCTGACTGCTTCAGGGTCTTTGAAATTGAGACTGAGGAGTAGAGAAGGACAGACTGGTTAGTGGGTACCACTGTGCTGCACTGCTCCTTCATCCCAAAGGGATGCTTATCCCCTCAAAGCCTACAGACAGCAGTAGAGTCATCTACCAGAATGGCCACACCCACCATGCAGCACAGCACCTACGTTAAGAGTAACTCTACTCCAATTCCTATCCGTTTCCTGTCTCAGCTGCACAAGCCATGTGCCTGGCTGACAAGTCTCATGGCTGCTAAGGGTAAGAGTACCAACAGCAGTGCCATATGACAGTCTCTGAAAGAACACAGCTCTTAATACTAAGTGTTTTTACAAGTGCTGGCAATTTTTTCTTTTTTAAACTATCACCAACATCACTGGCCCAAACAATTCTTCAAAATCTCACTCAAATATGGGGGTGGGGGAGGATGGAGAAAACATAAAAATGTAACCAGGTGGTAGCACACGTCTTTAGTCCCAGAGCTCAGGAAGCAGAGACAGGCAGATCTCTATGCCTACTCTATAGGGTGAGTTCTAGGACAACCAGGGCTACACAGAGAAACCCTGTCTTGAAAACAAACAAACAAACAAACAAACAAACAAACAAAAATAGCCAGGTGTGGTGATACACACCTTTAATATCCCCATTTGGAAAGGCAGAAGCAGGCAGGTCTGTTAGATTTGAGGCCAGCCTGGTCTACATACAGTATTCCAGAGCACAGCCAGGGTATATAAAACCAAAATCAAACCCCCCCCAAACCAAGACTAAATGAAATATCATATTTTACTCCTGTGTAATCAATCTAGTTTATTTAAAGAGTGGACTAACCCCATCTTCTTCAGTGACAGTATTTCTTCAATCTTACACATTGAAGAAATCCATACTCAAGTAAGACACTAAATATATTCATATCCTATTCCAATACACTGGCTGATCTAATATCTCTTCATATTAAGTGTAAAGTCTTACATTTCCAAATGTAAAATTTTTTAAATTAAAAAAACCCTATTAACCTAGAAACACTTTCTAAAACAAAATTTTAAAGTGTTTTCTCAAGTACATAGCCAGTAACTTAGTTACTGCCTTACAACTTCTCAATGTTATTCTACAGTGGCGCTCTGAAAATCCAGGATTGCAAATCCAAAGAATTTACTAGGAACAGCTTTCAAAATAACAATTTAGGGAAAGAAATATGAACTAACTAAAGACACAAGGTCTACATACCTGTGTACAGTAACAAATCGATCACGGCTGAACAGCCACTTGGGACCATGCCAGATGGCCACCACTCTTCCAGTTTGGCCCTGGACCTGGAGTTCAAACCTCAGGGAATCCTCCTGCTTTTCAGGCAGGGGGATTATAGGAATACACTATTGTACTAGGCATTTACAAGGGTATTATGGGACCAAACTGAGGTCACTGTGGTGGTTTGAAAGAAAATGGCCACCAAAGGAAGTGGCACTGGAACTTTGATGAAGTAGGTGTGGCCTTGCTGGAAGAAATGTATCACTGTGGGGGTGGGCTCTGAGGTTTCCTTTGCTCAAGCTTTGCTCAGTACAACACTCTGACCACTTTCTGCTGCCTGTAAGATATAGGATTTTCAGCTACTTCTCCAGCATGTCTACCTGCATGCCACCATATCCTACCATGATGACAATGGACGGAACCTACTGTGAGCCCCAACTAAATGTTTTCCTTTATAACAGTTGCAATGGTAATGGTGTGTCTTCACAGCAACAGAAATCCTAACTAAAACAGTCATCATGTTTTTGTTGCAAGCATTTTACTGACAGAGAGCCATTTTCCCAATCCCCAACTTTTTCTTATACATGCAATATTGCCATTATATTACCTAGGAATGATGCAGTTCTGTAATATTTTTCCCATTAAGTGGTCTAGAAGATGTATCTAATCCCAGCAATCGGAGACAGAGGCAGCCATCTCTGTGAGTTCAAGGCCAGTCTGGTCTGCAGAGCTAGTTCTAGGAGAGCCAGGAAGGGATACAGCAAAACCCTGTCTCAAAAAACAAATACTAGGCATAACATAGTAGTGTGTGCCTTTAATCCCAGCACTCAGGAGGTAGAGACAAGCAGATATTATCTGTGAGTTTGAGGCCAGCCTGGTCTACAAGGTGAGTCATAAGGATAGTCACACATACCATCACTACCACCAACAGCAACAATTAAAGAGAAAGAAACAAGGTGGGCAGCAGTGGCAGCGTTAAGTGCACACCTTTAATCCCAGCACTCGGGAGGCAGAGGCAAGAAGATCTCTGTGAGTTCAAGGCCAGCCTGGTCTACAAAACAAGTTCTAGGACAGACTCCAAAGCTACACAGAGAAACCCTGTCCAGGGAGAGGAAGAGAGAGAGATAGAGACAGAGAGAGAGGCAGAGAGAGAGAAAGCAGGAATTTGAGGCAAGGGGTGCATAAGAGGAAAGAAAAAGGGGAGAGGGGGAAATGAAAAATAACATACATAATTTCAAAAAATTTAAAATTATCTAAAAGTGCCTCCCTGACTCTCTTTGAAGTCCCCCACACTACAAATATGCAGGGTTAGGAGTATAGCTCAGTATTTACAGTATTTACCTAGTGTGCACAGGAACCCTGGGTTTGACCGTCAGTTGTACAAAACTAAAATCTATGGTCAGGTATAGAAGCATATACCTGCAATCTCAACAATTAAGAGTCAGTCAGAAGCAAAAAGATCTTTGCAAGTTCAAGGCCATCCATATTTACACAGTGAAAGCTAAGCAGCCAGAGTGCATACAGATTAAGACTCTAAAACAAGACCCTTCAAAGATATAATACTTTCTGTAGCACATGATGTATTAATGAGGAACTATTGTAACCTGTCACCAAAAAACATTGCATATGAAGCAGGAGGAAGACCAATGAAGTGAATAAACAAAAACCTACAAAATCTGATTCTTAGACTCCATTAACAAAATTGATTGTTCATTTCTTAGTCCTAAGGCAAACAATAGTCTAAGTGTTGGAAATCCTTTGTAGGGCAAAGTCTAGTCACCCAACTTCACTACTTAAATATCTAGGTCACATTAGCACCCTGGGACAATGCAAATCCTGAACATAGGCAAGATCTTTTTTTATTCTCGCTTCTAAGATCATTGGAAGGCCTAGGAACTAAAATTAGCTCTCACATGAACATTAGCATTTCTTCACTCCATCAGTCCTTGTTGTTCGTTTATTAACACAGGTAGTTTCACAAAACAGCTTATTGTCAACAGACTTCTGATTTCCCCAGAATGACTACCACTCTGCTGCAAATGAATACTTTATTTGTATCATCACTAAAGATGAGTTTTAGAATATGCACTCCCACTATTTAAGGATGACCTAACAATCATTCTTATACTGCAGAAGCCAAACCTCAAGTGTGTCAACAAACACCAAAGCCAATCAGCCTTGTTGCGACACTGGCCAGTGTCACCGGATCATCAATGAGATGCTAACAATAATAATCATCGAGTACAACCAACCTTCAGTGTTGGTCTTCAGTTTAAAAACAAACCAGTTAAAAATGTCACTATGTTCAAGATCAACTAACAGAGTTCACACTATCAGCAGGCTGTTGCTATGGAGTTGGGTACTATGAAAAAGTAAAGCCTAAAATTAAATTACAATTGTCTGATACAATTTTAACAAAGCAGTGACAAGTACAGGAAAGAACAGACATAATCACATCCTCAATACTGGTCATCTCAGCCCTATCAGTCTTTATAACAACAGGGATATCTACCCTTAATCAAGTTTATGACATGATAATCATTATGCATATATTATTACTAACCTTTATGATATTACCGCCTTTTAGATAAAGAGATATAGTCTCTGTAAAACGAGGAAATTACCTAAAACTTTGTCAAATGCCACCTTTAAGACTGCTACTTGGACCTGAAGAGATGGCTCAGCCACTAAGTGCACTTGCTGTTCTTCCAAAGGACTTGGGTTCAAGTCTCAGCACCCACATGATAGCTCACAACAACCTCCAATCCCAGTTCCAAAGGATCCAACACCCCCTTCTGGCCTCCACAGAAACTGCATGCACAGGGTAAACAGACACATGCAGGCAAAACACCGATACACATAATATAAATTAAGTGTTTTATTTGAAAATGATTAAAATAATGCCAAGTGGCACACACCTTTAACCCCAGCTCTCAGAGGCAGAGGCAGGTGGTTCTCTGTGAGTTCAAGGCCAGCATGATCTACAAAACCAGTTCCAGAACAGTCAGGGCTACACAGAGAAACCCTGTCTCCAAAAACCAAAATAGATAAATTGACACTATTGAAATGAAGTGCCTGCATGGGGTGTGTAACGGGCCTGTAACCCCAGCATTCAGAAGGCTGAGGTAGGAGGATCTCAGTGAGTCTGAGGCCCGATAGGCTAGAATGAGTTTCAGATCACTCTGAGCTTCAGAGTGAGATCTTGCTTCAAGAAAATCAAGTGCTGAATAAAAGACTGTTTGGCCAATAGAGGCAGAAAGATAGGCAGGACTAGGAGACAAGGAGAATTCTGGGAAAGGTAAGCAGAAAGATACGAGAAAGAGGACGCCATAAAGGAGTAACAGGTCCCGGTATTCTCCGGAAAGCCAAAACCAGGTGGAAATACATAGATTAATAAAAATGGTTAGTAATTAAGACAGAGTTAGCCAGTAAGAAGCCCTAGTCATTGGCCAGCAGATTAAGAAAGAAAGAAAGAAAGAAAGAAAGAAAGAAAGAAAGAAAGAAAGAAAGGAAGAAAGAAAGGAAATCAAATGCAAGTATATAGCTCAGTGGTAGAATTTGCCTAGAATGTAACAGGCCCTAAGTTTGATCCCCATGACTGCAAAAAATAAATGAATAAATAAGTGAACAAGGAAGTGAATAAAAAGTTTAAGGAAGGAAGAACAGTTCAAGGTCAGAGTGAGTTACACAGCAAGATTCTGCCTCTAAAGAGACAGCAGGCAAGCAAACATAAATTTTGGGAATGGAGAGATGACACAACAGTTAAGAGTGTG